AGGTAGTGACCGGTCCCATCTCGCCGCCACAGAGGAGTGGCGGTGGCTCCGCAGTTGACACACTCTCGGCCTTCTGGAGAGAGGGCAGGGAGAGATGCGGGTCCCCCTTCACGGACAAGATCACAGGGAGGGAGCCCCCAGGCAGCCCAAAGCCAGGCCAGACTTGCCCAGACAGAGCAGAACAGGCGTCCCATAGCTGGACCTAGGACGCCTTTGTTCCTTCCCCAGAGGGGGACCCTGCCTGATCTGTTCCCCCAACTCCATCTGGCATCTCGGGGAGCCCTTGGCTCCCCCAACTTGAGTTCTGGATCAGAAGGAAAAATTCCCCCCCAACTTTTCTCCCAGAAATCCTAAGAATTCAGACCTGGACAGGGATTGAAGTTATTGCTCTTTCAAATAGAATAAATAGAAAGTTCCTTTCGTGTTGGACTTGGAAGGGGGGGGGGTTGTTGTTGTTTTTCTTTCTTAGTTGTTTAGTGAGTTGTTTCTTGTTATTTTTTTGTTTTGTTTTGTTTTTTCATGACCATCTGGATTGCAAATCACACACCAAACAAACTTGGAGGAGAAGAGAGCGCCAAGCAGAGTGGGGACCCTGCGGCCATCAAGCAGGGGACTCGCTGTCACATTCCCTGGGAAATTCTTCCTGATTGAGTTCAAAACTAAAGTGGCCAGGGTGTCCCAGAAAGGGACGCTTTGGTTAGGAGACTCCAGAGTTTAAAATAAAATTTTAAAAAAACTTAGAAAAATCTTTTCCCTTCTCCCTGACTCTAAAGGGATTGGGGAGGAGATGGAGACCGCTGGAACCCGGTGTTAGCCACAGGTCATTGCCCCAAGGCCACATTCCTGGACAATCCTAGTTTGATCTGGCCACTGCTGGCCAAGTGGTGCGGGTACCCGTGGCTGCGTCCACTTGTCCCCTAGCTCTAGCCCTCGGGGAGGGAGCGTGAAGGGCATGCGGGGTGGTTAAGGGGGTGGGGGGACAAGTCTTGGGAATTTTGCTTTGGGGGAAAAAAAATCTCCCAAGGAGATCAGGAGCCATCAGATTCCAAGATGGGACTTGAGTTAGAGAACCAGATTCCTTTAGGGTCTGGAGACTTTGAAATGCTCCCAAGACACACGTACACACATGTCCCCAGGACGGGCCGACCTCACCTAAGGCGCCCTGCGACTTCTTGCCCTTCCAACCACGAGGGTGCCTTGAGTTTTCAGGGGACTCAAAGAGAGGGAAAGGGGACTCTCCTCGTGCGCTCGGGTCAACCTTGGAGAGGGGATGGCGGGTGGGGAAAGGGAACTTTGCTCCAGAGCAAAAGTTTCAGGCTCCCTTTGATCCCATTCTGTCAACTAGGAGGGTGACACTGTGCCCTCTCCCAAATCCAAGTCCCTGCGGCCAAAGCCAAAAAAGCGCGCGCCCGTTCACCAAACCCCAGGCGCCTGAACTTACCTGAGCAGGATCGTGCCTTGCTCCGCTGCTTCGGGGTGAAGCTCGAGGCTGGACCACCCAAAAAGCCCCCTGGGTGGAAGAGTCCGCTGCCATATTCGTGCGCAGCGGCGGGCACATAGGAGGGGTAGGTGGGGATGGGGTGGTGGGTGGCAGGCTGCGTGCCCATGGTGGCCAGACCTGGGCGCAAAGGGCTACCGCCCTCCAATTTCATGCTTTCGGTCAGTGACACTTGGTACTTGACACCGTCCTTGTCCTCCCCCCGGGCTGCTGCGCTGCCCCCTGCCGAAGACGAGGCCGGGGAGGCGGCCCCCGTGGCGCTCGGGTCTGGAGACACCTCTTTGGGTGGCGTCGGTGGGAAGCCGAAGAGATGGGAACCAGAGTGGGCGGCCGTGGGGGTGAGGGAGGCCACCGAGCCTCCGCTGCCTCCCCCGCTGCCTCCAGCCGCCCCTGGGTAGACGGAGAGGGGTCCTCCAGGGCCTCCGGCAGCTGAGGGGTGCAGGGGGGTCTTGGAAAAGGGGCTCACGGTCCAGGGATTGTGGTGGTGCGCGGCCGCGGCCGACAGGGCTGCTTTGCCCCCATCCAGCCAGGGCAACCCGGGGCTGTGCAGCAAGTGGGGACGGCACATCTGACCTCCGGTCAGGCGAGCTGCGTGCAGAGGGATCGGGGATCAGGGTGGGGACCCAGAATCACGCCATCCCCATCCACCACCGACCAGCAGAGAAAACCAGAAACACTGCTAAGCATCAAGAATGTCAGTCCCCAGTTAAAGGACAAGTGGCACCCAGAAGGGATCCCCCCACCATCCCGGGGGGGCCCGGGGCCAGCTGGAAATGGGGCAAAGCCCTCCAGGTTCCAGATCGTCTCCAAGGGGCCAGTGTCCCCCCCATCTTTCTCAGCCCGATTTTCTTAGCAGCTCCGATTCCTGCGGATCCCACATCCGGGAAGCGGCCAGCCCGGCTCGGCCACCCCCTCCCTGGCCTGGCCTGGCGCGCGGAGCCTGGGCTTCCCAGTCCCCCACCAGCCCCAGGCCCCAGGCTCACCGTGCGCCGGGCTGTAGGAGACGCGTGCCCGCGCATGGGCCGGGTTGGCGTAGTAGGGGTTGCCCTGCGAATCGAGGTGATTAAAGAAGACGTCCACTTCGTCCGGGGGCAGCAGCTGAGCCGGCTCCATGTAGTTGTGCGCCAGCCCCGGGTGGTGCGAGTCGGGGTGCTGAGCGTTCAGCACCGCGGGGTGCGCCATCCAGCGAGGCTGCTCCGGCGCCACCTCCATGGCCCGCGGCGGCGGAGGCAGAGGCTCGGGATCTGGGAGGAGGTGGCCGCGGCCCTGGGCGACAGAAGGAAAGAGGAGGGGGTCTGAGACTGACGGCTAATGTCTGACCCCCTCCAAGTCCCACCACGCGCGCGTCACGGAGCCCCCCGCGCAGGACCGGGTCCCCGGGTGGGAGGAAAGCGCAAAAGGTTCAAAACGAAAGGAAGGCGGGGGAGGGGGTTCGGCCACGCACACTCGCAGGGTGACCCCCGCGATCCCGAAGCCCCCCGGGGGTCACAGACGGGGACGAGCCCTGACACCCGATGACCCTAAACAAACGCTCCCCAGAAGGCACTTAAGTCTACGGAGCCCCCCACCCTCCCGGGACACCAACGCACGAACTCGGGCTAAAAAAAAAAAAAGTTGGAGAGGCGAGCCCGGACCCCCACGGGGACGCAGGACTCCAGCGACAGGGACACAACTACACTTGGCCGAGGGTGCCCCTTGCCGATCGCGACCCCCTCCGCGTCCCCAAAACACGCACACGCAGCCCCGCGGGCTGAGCGCCAAAGCCCCCCGAGCGCACTCCCAAGTGGCACCATCTGGACCCCCTCATCGAGGCGCAGCGAAGCGATCACACGGCAACCTGGACCCCAGCAGGGACCCCTCCAAAACTAGGAGCCACCCCCAAGGTCCCCCCCCCCTACGTCGGCTCCGCACCCCAAACTTACACTCGCAGCGCCGCAGGGAGGGAGGGGACCCAGCAGTAGAAAGTGCGGGAGCACGCACGACCGTCCCCGGGGTGGCTGGCCCAGCCACAGCGCGTCGGTGGCTGGTGGGGCTCACGGGGCAGGGGAGGGGGACAGCGCGCGCCTCGGCCTCGGGCCCGCCCGGCTCCGGCCCCTCGGCATCCTCCGGCCGCCCTGGCGCCAGCTGCCGACTCCTGCACAGACATGAAGCGGGGGCCGCGCACGCCTAAGAAGCCGGCGCCAGCCAATCAGCGCCGCGCGCCGCCCAGCCTCCGCCTCCCATTGGCTGAGCCCGCAACTCCCGGTCCGCTGGACTCCCGGACTGACCCGCGGGCGGGCCCCCTCGGTTGGCGGGGGCCCCCCTCCCAGCGCCCTCCCGGCAGCCCCTGCTGCCAACGCCCCCCTCCAGGGACCCTCACTCGCGGGTCCCTTCTTGGGGACCCTGTCGGATCCCTCCAACCTGGTCCCCTCTCGCAGTCACTAACCATCCACTGGGTCCCCCTTTCTTCCCAGTAGCCGGGCCCTTGCACCCTGTCCGGGTGTCCTCCTCTGGGGGACCCCAGTCCCTCCACTCCCTCGGAGGAAGTCCCACCTCTTTTCCCACTGATCGTGGTCACTCGGAGCCCAACTACCTTCCCAGATCGTTCCCTCCCCCAACTCTGGGGGCTGCCTGGGCGGGGGTAGGGGGTGGGGAGGACTCCAAGGGCAGCTGTTGGGACAGCAGGAGTGGACAGCCGCAGGAACTAGCCGGCCCTGGAGGGCACCTGGGCCTGGGGACACGCGGCCGCTCCGGGCTGTGCCTGACCCCGTGGAGGTGGCCTGGCCGGCGGCTCCACAAAGCGGGTGGGTCATTCCTCTCCCCGGGCGTGGCCTTCGCAGACCACCGGGCTGAACAGCCTGGGGCGAGGCCGAGGAGACCCGGACTGGCGCCAGCCTTGGCTCCAGGAAGATGCCCCGGGGCAGAAAGAAGGCTTTTTTTTTTTTTAAAAAAAAACTCCCCGGAGGCGATCCCCAGGGAGGGGGCAGGCGGTGGTCTCTGAGCACTGCGTCCCCCTGGTCACCTGGAACCGGGGGACGCACACACCTCCATCCCGGGGATCCATCTCTGGGGCTTCATGGGGCCGGGTGCGCCCATCTAGCTGCCACCCACTGTCCAGAGAGCAGAGAGACCGAGGTTCCAAAGGAGCCTCTGACCGAGGACAGAGGGGATCCCCCCTAAAGAGATTTGGGGGAACTTAAACAGGTGCGGGGTGATGGGAGGGGGTCGTGGAACGCCCTCCAGCTCCTGTCCCCTGGCTGGGCCCGCGATGGGGGAACCCATCCAGCAGGATCCCAGGTGGGACCGGGAGGGGGGGGGGCAGGAGGAGGGCTGGGGTCCCGACCCCCCCCTTTACACACCGAGAGTGGGGGAGGGGCGGCGGGATTGACAGTCGGTAATTGGGTAACTGGAGGCGGCTTCTCCGGCCCCGGCGGCCCCGCCACCGCGACGCCGGGCCCCTGACGTCACCCGATTCGCCAGGAAATGAACTTTTTAATAATCCGAGGAGGGAGGAAAGCCCTCGGTCCCCGTGGCTTCGGGGGGCGCCGGGCCCAGGCTCAAGATCCTCGGGGCGCGCCCCGGTCACCCCCTCCCAGGCCAGCACCAGGCAGCGCCAAACGGGGGCGCAGGCTCATGGCTGGGGCCTCCTCTCCTGCCCGTGCGTCTGGAGTCTGTTTGTCCGAGGCCCCGGCGCAGGTAGAGGCACGGGGCTGGGGGAGGCAGAGCTCCCTGGAGCTGGAAACCCGGCCGGAGGGGACCCTCCAGGCGCCCCCTGGCCACCCGCTGCGTCCTTCCCGATCCTTTCCATTCCGGAGAGCGCGGGGCCTGGGCTGCTTGGAATTCCGTTCCTCGGGAGAGGAGGCTGGCGTCCGCCCCGAGAAGGGCGCGCGGGGGCCGGGCAACAGGAGCGCCAGGCCGCTGGCTCCGGGCCTCGGCGACCCAGCGTGGCAGGTGAGTGACCTCCGGGACTCCAGGTGCGCGCTCCCCGCCAGGCGCTGGGTCCGGCCCGAGCCCCACGCCTGTGTCCCCTCCTGCAGCTCCCGATCCTGCCTCCACGCGTAAAATGAGATCGCCACGGAGCTTGGAGCCCCTTTGGGCCTGAACAGGAGCCTCTCCAAGACCCCCACGGCCTGGGGACACGTCCCCCCCTTCTGTTGTTCTGCAAGGCCACTGAGCTGGAACCAGGCAGGGACTCAGCCGCGGGAAGCTGTACCCGCCGCGGGGCGGTGATCGCCGGAGCCGAGCGGAAGCGTCTCGCCCCGGCCACGATCGCAAACGGAGGTGGGCAGCTCGGAGCACCCGGGAAAGCAGGTAATGCGCCTTTATTTTATTTTATTTTTTTGTCCCCAACGTTGGGTTTCAATGATCCTCCCGATCTGGGGTGCAGGGACAGGGGGGTGCAATTTCAGCTACAGGAATGGGGTCTCGGTCCCTCCGAGGGGAGGGGGAAAGGGGCTCGGCTGGTCCAGGTCCCCTCTCCAAACCTCACCCCCAAGCGCTGTCGCCGGCCTGGCAGAGAGCAAAGCGCAGGAGGAGATTCAATTACCCCGATCGGCAGCTCAGAAAATCGCAGCCGCTTAGCCGGGCGCTTAGGCGACGCTTGAGTAGGGGCCTCCCGAGACCCGCACCGGCCCCGGCTGCCCGCGCTCTGGGCGCAGAGCGAATCCAAAGAACAAGGGGATTCCGCCAGGTCCCTGGAGACCCTGGGAGATGCCTTTCTGGAAACTGCAAGCAGCCAGCTGGCCTGGCCTGAGCCTCCACCGAGGTGTGGACTCCTGCGTTGGATGCGGGATCGCTGGGTTTTCCAGCCAGGAAGGAACCCGCGTGGGACAGCCAAGTGCCACGCCCGGTAGCCATAAGCCGAGACGGCCTATAAACTGGGGGCCTGCGCTCTCCATGTATGCACGAGCCAGACGGACCGACGGACAATCTTCCAAAGCCTCACCCGCTAGGCCTGCCAGACAATTGTGCCACTTCTAGTCTCCAGCAAACCTCCGGCGGCGATGGCCAGCCAGGTCAGTCCCCTGGATCAGCCCCGGGCTCCGGTATTGAGGTGACCGTCCCCCCCCTGCCCCGATCAGAGCAGATTCATTCCACTTTATGCATCGGATGATGGTGTCCACGGGACCACTCCAGAGGGATAAAATCCCCCTGGTCCATTTTTGACTTTGGTCTTGTTTGATCCTGAGCAAAAATGCTGCTTTTGATGGCACTAAGGAGCTGTCACGTTCTCTACACCGAGACAAGATTTTTTTTTGATTTTTCCGGAGACTGAGGAAGGTTGGCCGAGAAAAAAATGGAATTGGAGAAAGGCCCTTTTCAAGGGATTTCCCCCCGATCGGCCCCAGGGATGGTTCTACAGGAGAGTCCAGGGCCCCGACTCATCCAGGCCCGGCTCTAGAGCAGGACCTCGCTTCTACAAAAAGGCTGCCAAATGCCAGACCCGGTCACTACTGCCCAGGTCTCCCACTTGGGTCCAAATCCCCTCTGGGCCCTTTGTTTAAACCTCACTCATCCGAGGCGGCCCCTTTGGGATCATAAGTTGGCCTTTTAATTTTTCTAGGCTTTTCCTAATGAGCCTGCAGGAAAGGTGTGTGTGTGTGGGGGGGGGGGTTCAAGGAACCCCATTATCTCGGCATCTTTCTTTTTTCTTTTCTTCTTAATTTTTTTTAGGGACTTTCACTTGGCCACACTGCCAATAAATCTCGAAAGATCGTGGGGAGGAAGTAGGGTCATTAGTAAGCTTCAGAAGTCCCTCTAGACCGGGTACTCAGACCAGCCAGCCCTGCAGAGGTTCCCCGCAAGAGGGGGACCAGGATTCTAGCACCCTCTCTCTTTTTTTTTTTTTTTAACAAATCAGGAGGCTTGCTCTTTCTGGGGTCCTGGCCTCCTCTTTCACCCCCACTCCACCCCACCCCACCCTCAGTGTCCTCTTCCTGGGCCTCCTTAGGAAGCGGGCTCTGCCCTTCCATACTGATTCCTTTGGAGACTAGAGACCGGGGCCGACGGTCTTAGTGGACCTCAACGGCCTGAACCCGAGGCACCTGGGGAGATTCTAGGTCTCCTTACCCGGTTCCAACCTCCACCTCCTGAGGACCGGGGGGCCACCTGAGACCTGCGGACAATCCCCCTGCGTTTCTAACCTCCTCCTCCTAACAGCTCGGGTGCTACCCAGAGCCCCTGGCTGAACAGACCCTTGGCAACTGCTAAATCCGTTTCGTTAGACGCCATTTGTTTGCAATTCGTCAACCCGGCTGGGACACGCTCTCCAGACACCAGGCCAGTCGCCTTCACCCTACCTGGTTCCTGAATCCTGCTTGCTCTTAAACGAATCCCAGCGCGGGATGCTGCGTAGACCCGGAGCCAGATGTTCCCAACCCCGGACAGATGTAGCTATTTTTTTTTTTTCTTTTTTCCAAAACCAACGAATTTTTTTTTGCCTTGCTTGCTTGGGAAAGATGCAGCCACCAAAGCCGCGGGGACCTTTCCTTTGGCAGCTGGGTCAACTCCGCCCTCCCCATCCAAGCCTGGCCTCTCCACCGGAGCTGATTCTAAAGGCCCCCGGGTCCGGCCTCCTCCGCCTGCGGGCTGCAGATCCCCCGCGCCCCGCGGGGATTGAAATGCCACAAAACGGATTCTGACTCCCTCCCGGCTTGGGACAAGGAGGGGACAGACTTCCAGATCGGGCACTGTCCCCCACCTGCACCCCCCCCCAGCCACACTGGATAAAAGGCCGCGGGGTGCGTCACGCGGGGGCGCACGCAGGAGCGAGCCGGGTTAAGCCGCGCAAAGCCGGCGCACGGGACCAGCCGGCAGGTGCAGCCGCCGGCTCAGCGGTCCCCGTCTCTGGCGCATCGGCTGCAGCGGCCCCGGGGTGAGGGACCCGCCGAGACAAAGGCTCCATCTCCTGGAACCGGGAGGGGGAGCGCTTCGCGGAGCTCTAGGGAAGGCTGAGCTCTCCAGGCCCTGCGCTCTGAGCCATGGCGAGGCAGGAAGGCCCCAGGCGGGCCTGCTGCTGTCCCCAGGTCTCCAAAAAAAAAAAAAAAAAAAAAATATGCACCTGGGGACAGCCAGATCAGGCCTTGGGATTTGAAGTTAGAGCCGCTGGCAGATCCAGGAAGAGCCCCAAACGTAGGGGCCACGGGGCGCAAAGGATCGGGTGCCAACCCCGGAATTGGAAAGGCCCGGGACAGGCGGGTGGCCTTGGAGGGAACTTACCCCGGTGAGTCGGTGAGTCGCAGTGCGCGGCGCCCCCAGGCGGATGGGGTCCGAGCGGATCTGGGAACGCGGTGCGGTGCGGTGCGCTGCGTGGCACCCGGGGCGCGCGCGGAGTGGCAGCGCTCACCAGCCCAGGCCAAGAGGCGCGCCCAGCCACCGCATGGTGAGCATCCGGCTGCTTTTGTCCGCCTTATGCGCGGCCCAAGCGGGTGGGGTGGCCGGCTAGGGCGAGCGAGGAGCCTCCACAGTGCTGGCTCGCCACCCCTGTCGCGTTCTTCCCTCCCTCCTGGCCCGCAGCGCGGCTGGGTTTTATTTGGACACCCCTCCTCCCCCCCGGGAGGGGTTGCTGGAGCGCCGCAGGGGGGCAGGAGAGTGTCCCCGGGCTCTGCGCCCCAGTCTGCCGGGTCCAGTCGCCAGCCTGGCCGGCCAGAGGGCCACTAGACACTCGAAGCGCACACACCCTTCTGATGCACGCTGCAGGCCACTCCCGCCCTCTCCCGGGCGCACACACACACGCGCGCCCCGGCTCTTGATCCCAGGGCACAGCCTCCCATGATGGCTCTCTTCTGAAAGTCTCCCTGGGGACCATCGGGGGACCATGGGCACACACACACACTGACCCACGCACGGCCACAGTCGCTTCTCTTCCTTCTCCAATCCACTCCAACCAGTGTCCACACGGACACTCACACGTGCGTGGGTACCAACGTGGCTCAGTGGCTGTCCCCCAAAAGGGCGATCTGGGTCACACCAACACAACACAAATGTGGGTGCATCCACTCAAAGGTCCCTCCACACTCTGACACACAGTCACACACGACTCCCAAGCTGCTTTGGTGAAGTAGAGAGGATAAGCCCCCCCAGTTTCCCACTCCGGAGAGGGACCTGAACATTTGGGGAATGGAGTTTGTGGAGTTTCCATCTCAGGCTACAGAAGGCGAAAAATGGAGCAGGGACGCTTGTCCTTAGAAGGTTAGGGAGGGAAGTCCCCTGCCCAGAGGGCTTGTCGGTTTGTCCTAGACGGAAATCTAGTACCAACAAGGGCCCGATCAATCTGCGCACCCCTCCCATTTCAGTTACTTAGGGACACAGTGGCCTTAGGTTCAAAGAGAAAGTGCTTTGCCCTGGAAGGACTGGGAGAATCCATAGTCATGGGCCCAGGTGTGCCCCAGAGAGGGAGTGGGTCTGTCCCCTCTCATCTCTAACATCCATGAGTCTTTCTGTTTTTTTTTTTTTTTTGGGGGGGGGGGGGGTACCAGGGATTGAATCCAGGGGTGCTTAACCCCTGAGCCCCATCCCCAGCCCTATTTTGCATTTTATTTAGAGACAGAGTCTCCCTGAGTGACTTAGGGCCTCCCCATTGCTGAGGCTAGCTTAGAACTTGCGATCCTCCTGCCTCAGCCTCCAGAGCCACCGAAATGATAGTGATGATGGGTCTCTCTCCAAATCTGGCAGTAACTCTGTCGCTCCAAGCACGCGACTCGCTGTGTCCTGCTTGATTGAGTCTGCACGTCTTGGTCGGTGCCCAAAAAATATTTGCAAAACCAACGACAGTAATGCATCCATTTCTTCTTGCGGGTTCCTGAGAGTTTGTGTACTGGGCCGTAGGTCACTGAGTGACTTTTTTTTTTTTTTTTTAGAGCACTGCTTTTTATTGTCACCCAGGGGAAAGTCTGTCTGAGGGACTGGGAGTGTGTCCCTGTGCCTGAGTTTCTGGGATCAGAAGCAGGTGGGTCTTTCCAAGTGTTGGTAAATGACTTGAGTGTCCCCCTTTGTCCACGTGAAGCAGTTTTGCCTGGGCGCCCTGAGTGGACAGATCTGGGTGTGGTCATTACAGTGTGGCTCTCCGCGTGTAATTCTGCTTATCGAGGGTGTTTCTGGGAACCCGGGTGTCTGTCTGTCTGTCTGCCCGTCCTGCCTTGAACAGCGTTAAGTATCAACGTGGAACTTTGAACGGGGGGCGCTGGGAAGGGGCGGGTGCAGGCAGATGCGTCTCCACATCTGTGTCCATCTCTAGTAGGAAATCGATGGGGACTGGGGGTGGCCTGTCTCTGTATTTGTGGGGACGGTTTCCCCTGATGATCTAGGGGCTGGCTGGGTCTTGGAACTGGGTGTGTTTCTCTGCCCAGGGCTACTCTCTCTGGGTCTGGGACGTGGATGTCCCCGGGTGACGGAGTGGTCCATCCTGAAGGCGCATGAGGGTATCTGCACCTCTCCAAACCATCAGGGCACACAGCTGAGCTCCAGGGTGCCATTTGCCCGGGCCCTTTCCGTCTGTCTGTGGGAGGGGGAGATGAGCTGATAAGGCTTATCTGCCGTCGCCAGCACCATGCTGAATAACTGCTCTAATGAGGTAGTCTCCCTGGGACCACCGGCTTTCAACCCCCCCCTCCCTGTCCCTGCTGGGGAGGGCCAGGGTCCTGGAGCTCAGAGCAAATCACTCTGGGGACCCCAGGTGACTGCAGGACCTTTTCTAGTTGAGTCTTGTTCCCTTGCAGGGGGGGGGGGGGCAGGTTCAAGGTCCAGCCCCCCCCCCCCATCCCACACCACTGTCCACCTCTTGGGCTGGATGGTCGCAGTCTGTGGATTTGAGTCTGGCCTTCGGAGGGCCGGTGGGAGGAGGAGGCTTTGGAGAAGTCAGTCCAGAGTGGGTTTCGATGGAGAGAAATTGAGACTCAGAAAGACAGGCAGCCCCAAGGACAATTATTATTATTATTATTAATTTTTTTAAGTAACAGAGAGGGATGGGGGTTAGAGGCTGGGGGGACCCTCTGAAATAAATAACAAGTGGCAGAAAGGATCAGAGAGAAGGGGACTAAAGGCAGAGAAACTGTTAACCAGAGACAGACAGAAACGAGAAAAAGATACAGCCAAGTTCCGGTGGTGCCTGCTTGCCACCCCAGCAGCTGGGGAGGCCGAGGCAGGAGGATTGCCAGTTGGAGGCCAATCTCAGCAACTTAAGAAAGGCCCTAAGCAATTCAGCAGGATTTTGTGTTTAAATAAAATAGTCAAACAGCAGGCTGGGATGTGGCTCCGTGGTGGAGCACCCCTGAGTTCCATCCCGAGTCCCCCCCTTCCAAAAAAAATAAAAAGAAAGAAAAACATCTAGATAGAGGGGGAAGACAGAGGCTGTTCAGGGTCCCAGGAAAGAAGCGAAAAGGGACCACAGCAAAGAGACAGAGTAGAGGCCACACAAAGGAAAGAGGCTGGTCTTGGTGGAAGGACAGACACACAGAGACCCGGGGCTGGGCCTGGCCGGGGACGCCGAGGAGAGCGCAGGAGGCTGAGTCTCCGGAGGAGGCCGGGGCGTGAGCGCAGAAGTCGTGCGCCGGGCGGGGCACCCAAGAGGCGGTGGCGACAGCGGGCAGGGGGGGTCCAGCGCGGGGCTGTGCCGCTGTCCGGGGTAATTTTTCATCTCGGCCGGCTAATCTTTGTTCCCGGCGAAGATAATGAATAGCCAATCGTTATCTGCCCGGCTCCCGGAGGCTGCCCGAGAATGGGGTTGTACAGGGTTGGGAATTGTTTCCAAAGTGCCGCGGAATAAATGGTGTTCCTTATCTCTGCCTTCCAGATTATCAGAGCCCTTTCAGAGAGCGCACAACAAATGCGCCCGCCATCGAATGCAGCATTTACCACCGCAGATCCGCGCGCTGATGGGCAGCCAGATAGCCATCCGCGGGGGGCACCGTGGAGCGCCCTGCGCCCAGCGCGCCTCCAGCCTGCGCGCAGGGGCCACCCGAGTGTGCGCTCTCTCCGGGGGAGACACTGTAGCCGGGCAGCCTTTGGAAGGCCAGCGACGGAGTGGACGCTCAGCACACGGGGGAGACGTGGGTATGCGTGTGCCAGGGTGTCAGACATGTGTCCTGCAAGGAAGCGCACGTGTCCCAACCTTGGTGGCCCCGAGGAGCGCCTGGAGACGGCCTTGGAAAGACGCGCGTGGGGACGGGCCTGGCACGCACGTGTGACTCATGAAGCTGGGGTCTTTGGGCAAGTCAGCTCCTGTCTGGAATTTGCAGCTTTTCCATCCATTCTTTCAGCAAACACTTATGGAGCACCTACTGTATGCCATACTGACCCTGGGCCGCCCCCCCCCCCCCAAAAAAAAATGATTGTGCAAGCTTGCGTTGGCATGCCTCAATGCATGTCACCCCTTCCAGGATGCTTTGGAGGGGGGGGACACACACCAGAAAGGGGGCGTGGCAGCCGCGAGGGAACGTGGGGTGCGCGCTTGGTGCGTTTTGGGGGGGCTTGCAAGCTGCAGAGCATGCGCATCTGTGGGAGGTGAATGCACGTGTCAGCGTGTGGCTGGGGTGTGCACCCGGGAAGATGCGTCCTGAAAACTGCCTCTTTCAGCCCAGGTGTGCCCAGGTGCACAGCAAGAGGGCGAGAGGACAGGGCTGACCGGGTGCTTGCGAGTGTAGACTCCTACAGGGACAGAGAGAGGCGTGCGCGGGGATGGGGTGGGGGGGGACAGTGGGATGTGCCATGTTGGTGGCAGAAACTGGCTAGGGAGCCAAGAGGAGCGAGTCCAGGAGTTTGGGGACACTTATGGACACTTATGGAGCACCTACTGTATACCATACTGACCCAGGGGTCCTGGTCCCCACAGCCTCTCGGCTGTAAACCCTGAAGCTGGGGCAAGAGAGCCCCCGAGCCTGGCTGCCTGAGGTCCCTGCGCCGTGAGTGACACGCGCCGCCGACAAAGGCTGTATTTTTCCAGCCCTGCGCCCCGCCCGTGCGCGCGCGATGGTCCCCATGGCGACGTAGATAGCGCCTCAGCCATTTTCCCTATCTCCCCCGAGTCTATTATACGGCGGGATTAGCTCATCTCCAGGCAGGTCAAACCCAAAGTCACCCAACCTGCGGCGCCGACCCCGCCCCCCCGGGTCCCTCCCCCTTCTCGGGTCCGGTCTGCGCTTGGAGACCCCCCGGGCCGCGGCCCATGAGCGAGCGCACAGCGCCACCTGGCGTCCCCAGTGGACTCCGCGCGAGCCATCTGCACCCGAGTCGCCCAGGAAGGAGACCAGGGGCAGGGGGTCCCTTGGTCCAGAAGCAGGAACTTTTTGTTTTGGGCCCCTGGGTCAGTATGGTATACAGTAGGTGCTCCATAAGTGCTTGTTGAAAGGTTGCATGGAAAGACCAGAAATTCTAGACAGGAACTGACCAGCTTCATGGGTCACCAAAAACCCATTTCTGAAAAGGCACCCAGTTGACTTTAGAATAAAAGCCAAACTCCTTTGGAAACCTACAGAAGAACTTGGTGACCTCCCGGGTGGATCCCCCATTTTCTTCTTCCGTCTCTCAGGGACTGTGTGTGGCCTTCCTTCTGTTCAGGTTGGACCCAGGGCCATTCCACCCCTGAGCCCCGTCCCCAGCCCTTTTTATATTTTATTTAGAGACAGGGTCTCCCTGAGTGGCTTAGGGCCTTGCTAAGTGGCTGAGGCTGGCCTCCACCTTGCGATCCTCCTGCCTCAGCCTCCCCAACCGCTGGGAGCTTTGGGAATAAGGAGATGGCCTCCAGAGGAGGCTCTGTGGGTGCCGCTGATTCTCTTCTCCTTTCTTGATTTGCAGGAATCACTCAGCGAGGGCCACCCTCCCACAGATCTGCTCCAACCCACAGCCCAGAAGGCCGTGGGGTTGAGGGTGACTGAGTCACCAAGGTCCCTCGAGCTGGGGTGGAGGGGAGTTGGAAACACTTCTGGCCTGGGTCTCCGGGAGCCTCGGCCTCTCTGGGGAGACCTGTGCTGCTGGGTGAGACTTCACTCATAATACAAGATAATTAGACCAGAGGTGTCAGGAGGCGGCGGTGATTAATGACAGGGCACGGGACTCAGACAGTGAGAGATCTCAAGCCGGGGACACACGGCCTGCCCGTCTCTGCTCTGGAAGGCGCTCAGTGGGCACCAGGCCAAGCCTGGAAGAGGACCTTGGCCCAAAGCTCTGAGCCTTGGCTCCAGACTTTCTCAGAAATGCTCAAATTTCTTCCCAGAAGAAGAGCCGGGGGTCCAGGAGTCCACTTTCCCTGCCCCCCCCCCCAACATACACACACACACACCCCTCCCAGTCAGACGGGCTGAGTCAAGCCACTTTCCCACCCTGAGCCTCAGCTTCTGCCCCCCTGCACACGCCTCTCTCCAGGATTGTTGTGGACGTCATGTATGAGCACGTGTTCTTCAAAAGACTTTCCAAATTCGAGCTTTGCAAATCGGCAGCCCAGAGTCTCAGGGGTGTGACCAGGGACTGATCTTTGCCAGCGTTTTGAAGTGGGAGATTTCCCATAAAAAAGATTCGTGGCTGCCGGGCGTGGTGGTGCCTGCTTGCAATCCCAGCAGCTCAGGAGGCTGAGGCGGGAGGATCGCAAGGTGGAGGCCAGCCTCAGCCACTTATCACGAGGCCCTCAGTGACTCAGCGAGACCCTGTGTCTCAATAAAATAGAAAAAGGGGCTGGGGACGGGGCTCAGGGGTTGAGCACCCCTGGGTTCAATTCCTGGTTCCAAAAATAAATAAATAAATAAAATAAAAGGCTAATTTCCTGCTTCTTGGGGGTCAGGAGGTAGGTGTCTTGGAGGTGGGTGTCCCCTTATAGAGATGATGACCCTGTTGGGCTTTTCTCCCAATATTGGGACTTCCAATATCTTTCTCCCTCCAGGTATTGCAAACCATTTAGCAATTAATTAGTTAATGGATTAATCCAGTCAGCACTTTTATATTATTATTATTATTATTATTAATTATTATTATTATTATTATTATTATTATTACTCGGGATCGAACGCAGTGGCACTTGACCACTGAGCTCCATCCCCAGGTCTTTCTTTTTTATGTTTTTATTTTGAGATGGTCTTGCTAAGTGGCTGAGGGTCTTGTTGAGGTGCTGACTGAGGCTGGCCTCCAACTTACGATCCTCCTGCCTCGGCCACCAGACTCACTGGGCTCACAGGCATGTGCCCCTGCAGCCCGCTCATCAGCACTTTTAAGTAATGTCCCAGATGGCACCGTAAGGCAAGGTACCCTGGACCCACCATATTGAACAAAACAGCTCTGGGAACCGAGCTCAGGAACTGAATCCATCTAGGAAAAGAATCAGACACAGCTCCACCACACCTCTGCAGGGACCTGGAATAAACCCAGACATAGTCCCTGGCTGTGGTAGAGGGACAGGCACACACAAACGGAATCTGTTAATTCCGACCGATAATCACTGGAACTAAAGAACGCTTCTTAAAGAAGAGGTGCACACATTCATCTGGGAACACGCTATGTAAAGAGTGCCTACAAATCAATAAGAAAAAAAACTGGTAAAGGCTATGGATAGAAAAGTTTGGGGGAAGAAAACAGAAACAGCTCTGGAGTGAACAAAAATGTGCTCAATCTCACTCGGAGCTGTGGAAATTTAAAACACATTGAGCCAGGTCCCGTCAATAAATTTCTAAAAATCACACAAATAGTTATAAATGCCATTTTTAAAAAATATCTATTTAGTCTTAGCAAAATATCAACACGTTCTAGGAAAGGTCACACTCCTCAGGGGATTGAAGTGTCAGATGAGGCACACGGAAGGGTGGGCAATGGGTGACTGTCCAATGTACAAATGCGCTTGTCCTTCGAAGCGGTCACTCCACAGAGGGACTTTCATCTGATGCCCTTTCACATTTTATGAACTGGGTCAGGAAATTCACTGAAGTCGCATACGTTACGGCAAAAGATGGAAAGCAAAATATCTTTTCCCCTCACTCCTCTTCTGGACCTTCCTACATCGCCTCCCACAGGAGCTCTGGGGACACCTCCCAGGACATTTGCACTAGCTGACACACATCCACCCCAGGACATTTGCACTGGCTGACACACATCCACCCCAGGACATTTGCACCCCAGGACATTTGCACAGGCGCTTTCCTTTATGCTGCTATTCTATTCACATGGCTCCCTCACATACATTAGGTCTTTGCCCAAACGTCACCTTCTGGGACTACACTCCTGGTCAGCCTATGGAACCTACAGGTCCTGGAGTGTCCTGGGGACATCTGGTAAAACAGGTGACCTGGTGCTCACCATCATGACGAAGACTCCCCAGGGCCCAGACAAAGAAATCCCAAGGGTCAGATGTGGGACTCTCGGGCAATGACTGGGTCCTGAGGGGTCTAATGTCACCCGGGGGTGAATCGACTCCTTTTCTCTGTACATCTTTACTCCCTAACTTTCCCTCCTCAGGTATATCGGTCACAGTAAAGAAAAGCCGACTCATACAGGGATGTCTGAGCAGCCGTGGACAAGGTCCAACTACCCCTGAGGCCACCGTAATGTGAGCTTTCAAGGGTTGGTTTTGTATTCACACGGTGGAATACTAGACAGCAATGAAAAATGACCACGATGTGGGGCATCTGGCCTCCAACTTGCGATCCTCCTGCCTCAGCCTCCCGAGCCCGCAGGGATGACCGGCGTGCACCACCGCCACCTGCTTTTGGGGGTGATTTTTTTAATGTGGTGTTAGAGGAAATGGACCAGGAGTTATTAACAAAGTTAACTAAGACCTATTCGATTGAGAAGTGAGACAGAGAGGTGGAACTGGCTTCCTTGGAAATCTGCACACCCTTCTGCCCTGCGAAAATTCAGAGGGAAGAGGTTTGGGGGCCGCTCAGTCACCCCTGGATGTCAGAGATCAAGACTTTTTCTGTTCTTAGGGCTCCTGGAGAAACCACCTCACAACCCAAGAGGGCGGCTACAGTCTTACCATTGTGTCTCCATCCCAGGAAGCAGGAAAGAAGACGTGAATGGAAAGGGCAAAGGTGCTTCTCAGCGGTCTCCTAGGAAAATGCCTGAGAGCGGACTCATCCACTTATAACCCACGGTCATGGTCACATGACCGGGTCTAGCTGCAAAGGAGGCTGGGTAATGTAGTCTTTCCTTGGGATGCCACATGCTCCTCTTTATGTCAGAAGGAAACCCCGGATTTTGGAAGACATCTTAGCAGCTCAGGAGGCTGAGGCAGGAGGATCGCAAGTTGGAGGCCAGCCTCCGCCACTTAGTGAGGCCCTAAGCAACTCAGGGAGACCCTGTCTCTAAATAAAATATAAAAAGGGCTGGGGACGGGG